GAATAGCAGGGCACTTTCTCGGCGGTGTGAAATGAGCAATAAATGTATTAGGGGCTAACAAGAGAGCTGTAACAGTGACAAAGAAAAGCTGTTCAAAGTTGCCGGCTAATCTCCCACCCATCTGCCCGGCTCATTACCATGTAGCCAGCCATCGGGTGCCAATCAGCCCTCAATAGCGCCTTTCGAGTCTTTATTAAGCCAGGCGCCGCTCCGAGAGCTCCGCTCAAGGCGCTGTCAGCCCCGCCATTCTTCACCCCCATTTCCAGGGGTTTTATAACTTGGTTGTAAATTGCTATTAAATGTAAGTCTGCCCAATAATGAACCCTAAGCCCTCTCGCCACCCCCCCGCCTCTCCCCTCTCCCTTTCTCTCCCTCCCTGGTCCATTATGGGCCTTCGCCGGGGCCTGCCCAAGATAAGAGGTGACATTGTTGGTGCTGCTGCCGGAGAAAGCCTCTTAGCCTTTAAAATAGTTAATAATTAGATTAAAACTTCAAATAAATTAACTAGAGAGTGAATGGGAACCAGGCAGGGGAGGGCTCCCCCTCCTGTTTCCTCCCCTCTTCCAGACTGTCCCCAAGTCCGACAATGGGTCACTTCGCTCCTCCAGCTCCGCTCTTGGAGATGCCGGTTCCCCTGGGACCCTCCGCAGCCTCCTGGCCCTGCACACGGGGAGCCCAGGTGCTGTTGGCCCGTCCCACCTCACAGGGGACACCGAGAGGCCAGGGCAGAGGGGACCGAGATGGACCCGGGGCTCCAGCTGCCAAGCTGGCTCTGCTTAGCCCGGAAGAGGTGGGCACCGAAATGTCAACGTGGGGAGACTGGTCCATACCTGCACCTGCCTGACGCAAAGCTTCCTGCCGGCCTGTGCTCCTGAGCCCTGCCGTGTGGTACATCCGGCCTGAACCTCTGCCTCCCGTCAGCCGGACACTTCCCTTGCCCGCTCCTGAGGTGCCCTGGGGAAAGGCCAAGCCCCTGCTCTATGGACGGAGAGGTCACCCTGCAGGCCTGGGCTTGGTGCCGCGAACTCCTGCTCAACACTACCTCCTCTAGGAAGCCTTCTTGCTTCTCGAAGCTCCTGCATCCCGCAGCCTCACTGAGCTGGGTGTGTGCTGTGCCCTCCCTCCTCCCTTCAGGGCAAGAGAGCACCGCAGTGCCCAGCCGGAAGTGCACTCATGACAGCCTAGCAAACACTGGGTGTTCATGGCAGCAAAGACAAGGGTGAGATCCGGATACCTGGCACCACAGACTTCATCCGACACCAGGACAACACAGGCCCTCTTTTACCCGCTGCTTACAGAGGTGGAAACTGAGGCCCAGGGAAGTCGAATGACTTTTCCCGAAGTCCTAAGCAGCTGGCGAGTGGCCACTCAGGAACTAGAAGGTTCCACAGACTAGTGCAACACGGGGACCCAGAAGCCACACCGCCAGGGCCAGGGGCTGCCTGGACCCTGGCTTCCAGCATGGGGTGACAGGAGGGGTACAGAGGGCCTGGGCCACCCTTCTTTGGACTCTGGCCTGCGCACGTACCTTTTTTGAATTCTATCTCCAGGATGTCGGGGCTATTGGGGGCTTTGGCAGGGTCCTGGGTCTTTGTGTAGAGCCCAGGAGGAGCTTGGCTCTGAAAAGAGAAAGAGGGTAGAGGGATGAGGCGTTGAAGCCAAGCCCAGAGGTGCCGCACCCCGACACCTGCACGCCCTGTCCTGCAGCACCGGCGCCTCGGCCCGCTCCGGAACCAGGGCCTGGGGCTTCCCAACCCAGAGCGAGCCCCGCTTGCCAAACAAAGGGCTGGAGAAATCAGACAATTTTTCCCCTCAACTTGATCTCATCTTTTTCTTCGACGCCCCCTCAGCTGGAGGTAGAATGGCAGGAGAGAAACAAGTCAGGAGGAAAAGTGTGACTTCGGAGGAGCCTGATGGTGCTGCTCCCTCGGCTTCCGGGAGCAGCACGCATGCACGCGCTCGCCGGCGCCAGGAACTGGGGCTGATTCTGCACGGACGCAAAGCTAATGACTACGCATGACCCCAGCAGGTGCTCCGGCGAGCCGAGCCGTCCCTGGGTCCCAAGGTTAATACTCACGGGGAGAAAAGAGGACAGCAAAGCAGAAACCCATTTGAAAATGCATCAACCTTTATGTATATTCGCGCTGGCCGCGCTGGAAATGGGCCCGGCTCTGGGGGAGGTGGCGGAGCTGCAGTGGCGATGGGCTGGCCCTCCTGCAGGCACCCAGTCCCGAGATCTGTCCCCCAGACGCCAGGCACATTCCCATGCCGTCCTGGTGGGCAGGAAGTTGTTCGCTGCCACCCGGCCTGCGGCTGAAGACACCAAGGCGGGACGGGGACTGGCTGCACCCCACCTCTTCCCTGGTGCCCAGCATGGCCAGGACCCACGACGCACTCAACAAGCACTGGATTTGACGGCGGCACCCAAGCTGAGTCAGGGCCGCAGGTGTGGGGCCTGGACCAGCTGCCTTACTCCTCAAGCCTCAGTTTCTCCATCTGTAAAATGGGAAAATGATGCCGGTCCGTGACTATTACGGCTTATGGGTGTGCACAGGTTTTGCTAGGTTTGAACACGCGTGAGGCAGTGCTCTGAACAGCCAGGCCCTGGCAGGGAGGCCAGCAACGTGTACTGGGCCCGCCCGGGTCCCGCCTGTGGTCCCGTGCAGCTGGCTGAGTGATCGAACAGCCATCCTGGTTTCCCTGGACTCTCCAGGTTTCAGCACCAAAAGTGCAGGGTCTGAAAAGTCTTCAGAGTCCTGGGCAAACCAGGAGGGTTTACTCTTCCCTCTCCACTTCCAGCCTCCGAGAGGCCGTGAGAGACCTCGGGCCCCACCCCTGCACAGACCAGAGAGGAAAGCAAGGCCCAGAGAAGCAGTTGGTCCAATCCATACGGTGACTCTCACAGAACTGGAGGGAGGCCGGCACTCCGACCCCGTCAGTCCCCAAGGCTGGCACTGCCTTCCCCGGGCACACAGGCTTACGGCCCTCCTCAGCCGAGAGCAACAGAACCGAGGCTGGGTCTAGGGGTGCCGGACCCTCCCCTGAGCCTCCACCTGGGCTGTGGCCTCCGTGCCCAGTCCCAACAGCGTGATGCTTGTCACTTCCTCCTGCCACACTGCTCAGAGACAGGAGGACGGGTCCCCACCACAGTGGAAGTCACAGGCAGCAGCCAGCCGGCAGCCTGACAGCACCGATGAAATAAAATAACTAAATAGAAATACAGCGACATTTGCTTTGCATTTCGAGGTGGCCGGGCGCCTGCCTTCTTTTTTACTCTCCCTCCTAAAAGCCCAGTTCAAATGACAAATAGTTTGTTGGCCAGTATCAATGCCATCTATTTATCCATCCCGGCGGGAGGCCCACTCCCAATGTCACCCAGGGGGGGTCCGCAGTGGGGGAGAGGGGAGAAAGGGGGGCAGGGTGGGGGCGGGGAGAGGGCGAAAGAAAGCGCGAAACAGGGTCCGAGGAGGAGAGATTGCGATCAAATGGCCCATGAACTAAACCATGATGTAGAGGCACGATCAATGTGGCCAATGGTTTATTCACCCGTCAGCTACGGCGGGCCAGCGACTGAATGAACTCTTTCACTGTGGGCCGTATGAAGTTAAAGCAAGTAAATTTCTATCTTTCTTCACATTAGCTGCCTCATTGCCCTTCAATCAGCCCTCATGGAGGCAGAAAATGGCTCAGCCATCTGCCTGCAAACCCTCCCTTCCGCAGGTCGAGGGGCTTTTTGGGGAGCGGGGGAGGGGCGCCGGTTCCCCAGAGCTGTTCTCCCAGAACCCCGCCCTGGGCGGCCGTCGGCTGGACGTCCGGGGACTCGGCGTCCAGCAAGGAGCCGGGGAAGCCTCTGCCCCTCAGGCCTCACCCACACACTCACGCCCAGCCGAGGCCAGCCTTCCCTGCTGGGTGAGAGGGTCCCTGGGGGGCCGCGGAGGGAGGGCCGGACCTCCCCCCCACAACCAGGCCTTGCCCTGTGCCAAGCCGAGCCCTGGGACGCACGAGAGGCTCAGAGCTTGCGGCGCTTACCCTGGATTTGCACCCAGGTCCCCGTAGGACCCGTGCTGATGGGTGGTAGCATCCTTAGTGCGGACAGTGAACACTTATAAGAAGCCCAAGGGGCAGGAGTGGCCCGTGGGAATAGGCAACGGCCCCTCTGCCCTCAGCTCTGCTCCCCAGTCTTGGGGCAGTCGGATTGGGGGTTCTGTTCCTCACTCAGGGAGCAGAGGGCCACAGCCTGTGCAGGGAGGGCTGGGGAGCGGCCTCCTGGAGGAGCGGCCTGGTGGGCCTCACGGTCCCCCTCCGAGCTGAGTGGCTGGCTAATTAGAGAGAGGTGAGGCCTCAGCGGTGTGGGGTCAGCAGAGCGTGAACTGGAAAATCCTGCGGCCGGCAGGCAGCAGCTCCACAGGGGCCGTCAGTCCCTGGGCGCCATCCACCCGCCGGCCTAGCAGCCGGCACACGGGGCGTCCCACTCGGAGCCTCAGTTTCCCCACCAGAACAGGACAGTGCACGAAGCCAGCTCAGCCAAGGAAACGCTGAAGGGGGCTGCTGCCAGCGTCCCCGGCACTTGTCACACCATGGCCATTGCCACTGGGAAGGGGCCGGGCCTGGTGCAGCGATGAGCACCAGGGGTACAGTCAGAGATGCCAGCGCCGGGGGACATTCAGGGAGCCCGGGGGCTCCGGCCTCCTCCTCCTCACCAAGCCACCCGAGCATCTCGCCCCCCAGCTGCCCCCAAAGCTGTGTGGAGACCCCCGAGACAAAGCTTGCTCTTTCTCTTCCCATGATGGATTTCTCCTTGCCTTCCCACCTCCCACGGCCACAGGGGACACACCAGGAAACCCCTCGGGCAGAGACCCCAAACTCTCCTGAGAGGCTGGGGACAAGGATCAGGGTGGCCGTGGCGGGCGTGGAGCTCAGACCCAGACAAACAGCGGCCAGGGCTGGTGGCCCAGGCTGTGCCTCCCACAAGTGTCTCATCTGCCTAATTAGGTCTTTATTGTCTCCAGCCGCACACTCCCTCTGTGTTGTCCTGAAATATTTCCCTCCCTATTCATCCCAGCGGCAATTAGAAAAGGGCACTAGGAAAGGAGGGGTCTGAAATGCCACAAGCAGAGGGTGGGCGGGCAGGCCGGGGACACGGGCGGGTGCCCGCCCCCATGAAATTTCAAATTAGGCTCCAAACATCAGACAGCATCGGCACGGAGCAGCCAGCGCTGAGGGTGGCGGGGGTCATTACCTTGGGGTTCTCCAGGATGCCAGCCTCGTAGCTGCGGGGAGAGGGAAGATGGGTCAGTGGGAGCGGACACAGGGCTGTCACCCCACTGCAGCCCACAGGTGCCCTCAGCGCTTTTCTCTGCCGGAGCACCTGCTGCCGGCTGTGTGCGGGCTTCCTGGGCCCCCCTGGCGGCTGCAGGGAAGGCCTGGGCCGCTTTCCTCATGTTCTGGGGCTCAGCTCGGGGCACCGCCACCTGCCACTCCTCCTGCCTGCAACCCCCTCCCCACACCAGGTTTCCAGGCTGTGGGGACACCGGGGCCTCACCTGATGTGCATGAGATTCTCGTCCATGCTCCACGGGCTCTTGGGGGTGACGGGGACGGGGATCCCGTGTTGCTGTGGGGAAGGCGCAGTCGGGCTGAGGCGGCCGGGCCCAGATGCACTGGTGGGGTTCAGTGCCCCGCAGTGGCAGGCAGCCCCAGACCCTGGCCACCGCCCTCTCCTCCTGGGGCTGCCCAAGGGGGTGGGGGCCCCACAGCCCCCCTCCGGAAGACTCTGCCCGAGGCCTCAGTCCAGGCGCTGTGCCTGCCCAGGGCCTCCCTGCTCCAGCTCGCTGACCCCCACAGGACCCTGTGAGCTGGGGACAGAATGGCCCAGAGCCTGGCCGCGGTCATGCTCCGCTTCCGGAACGTCCCGACCCACCCTGCTCAGCACCTGCGGCAGAAGACAGCGGTGCCTCCGCCCCAGGGACGCCGCTCAGGAGCAGCACAGCAGCTCTGCCCTCCTTCAGCTGCGAGCCCTGAGCCCTAAACTGTGCTTTCCCGCCAGTGTGCAGGAAGTGGCCCAGGCCAGCAGGACCCCAGGGGCCTGCGATGGTGGCTCCCAGGGAGGGGCCTGCTCTGCACATGGAAATGCTCAGCCCTGGCTCTCACACCTGAGGTGGTGACTCTAGAAACCTCCCCGGGGAAGCGGCTGTGTCCCTTCATCCCACTTGAACTGGAAATGAGGCTTAAACACAAAACAGTTAACTCCTTGAGTTTTTAGCTTTACCAGAAGACCTGCTTTAAAAACAAAACAAAACAGGCCTGGTGTGGTGGTGCATGCCTGTAATCCACCCCTCTGGGAGGCTGAGGCAGGAGGACCACAAGATGAAGCCTAGTTTGAGCAACTTACTGACTTAGCAACGCCGTGTCTCAAAATAGAAAATAAAAAAGGGCTCAGGACACAGCAGGAAGGTCATGGGTTCAATCCCCAGTGCTGCCAACCCCGCCCCACCCCAAAACCCAGAACAAACACCCTGCCATCTACTTAGAATTCGTGTGCTCCTTGATATAAACTACACAAGCAAAGAGAATGCCCTGTTTCCAGGTTGTCTGACACCAGGGACGTGTGGCTGGCACCGCAGTGGCTGGCTGAGCTCTGTCCTCCCGCAGGGTGACAGGGGGGACTTAGACCACTGTGGGCCAGGTCCTCCGGAGCCTTTTGGGGGGACAGTGTGGGAACACTGCCTTCTTCCCCCATGGGCTGCAATCAAGGAGCCAGGGAAAGTGCCCTGAGCAGCAGGGGGACAGACGCCCTGCTGGGGATGGAAAACTTCCCAGCGGGTCCACCTTGCCCTGTCCTTTCTGCTCTTTGATTACGACAAGGCCAGGCGGCCTGAGAGTCTGCCTGACGGACTGGGGCGGCATGGAACGCGCCTGAGGCCAATATTGTTAGTCTCCCGAGCACCTCTTGGCCTCGAAAGCAGAGAGCTTCAAAGCCACATTGATTTGTCTCTTCTGCATCAGCTCCTGGCTGGCTCTGAGTTTTGGACAAAGCTCCCCATCTGCTCAGGGATTCTGGTCACTTCCTGGGTGGCTCTGCCTCTGCTTCTAGAACAAACTCCCATTTCCCAAGTTCGATTCTCAAACCCGGCTCCAGATACCCGGGGTCGGGGGGCAGCTGCACTCCTCTCTCCCAGCTGCAGCTGCTCCTGAGGATGTGGCCACGCCGAGCGCCTTCTCCCACATCCAGGGGAGGAGGGACCACAGCACTTCTGAAACTCATCTTTGCCGGGAAAACTGGGGCCACTCCCCCAGGGGTGCCGGTGGCCACCCTGCCGGGCCCTCCCGGTGAGCGCGGGACTGCAGGTCCTGACTGGTAAAGACAGCCCCGATCCTGCGTCCATCCGCAGCACCCAGGAGCAGGGGAGGGAAACGAGGCCTTGCCAGCCTCTGCTGCCTTAATAGCGCTGCTATTTGCCGATTTGTTTGGCAACATATGGGTTTGCTCTTGTAAACTCCCCTCTTAATAATAAAACAACAGATGGCGGAGGAGGTCTTTCCTCCCAGTGCTCCGGGTCTTCATGGGATGCTGGCGGCTGGGGCAGGGCTGCGTCCCGCAGCGTCCCCTGCAACGTCGCACCTTGGCGGCAGCGAGCGCGCACAGACAGCCCCGGCGACGGCTATTTAAAAACCTGAACAATTTTCTGGTGTGTGCACCGCGCTGCTCTCCCCTGGCTGATTGATTGAGGCTGTTTGTCAAGCGCTGCCACCGAGTTGCTAAAAAGAAAGGTGCCCCGGAGAGCGGCTAAGGCCCTTGATGCAAAACTTCTAATATGTTTTATTGCAACTTGTTCTTCAAAAAACGCTGTAGCCGCAAAAGGCTTTGTTTGCTCAGTGTCTCCGGTCCCCAAGGAAGCGCCTGGGACAATCAGCAGCCAGGTGATGGACGAAGGGAGCCCCCTTACCTTTGCGTAGTCCATGAGGTCACTGCGGCCCCGAAAGCGGTTGTAGAACTCGGGCATCCTCCAGGGAGCAATGACCTGGGCACAGAGCGGGGTCAGCATGGGGTGCTGAGCCATGGCTGGCTTCCTGGGGAGCGGCTCCCGGTTCTGATGACCACCCAGGTCTCTTGATGGGTCCCCCAAGATGCAGCCCGTAGGGACAGGGCATTAAGCAGAAGGGGACGCAGCAGCCACTTCGGGGTGGCAATGGGAGGCCTGAGCTTGGCAGCAAAACTGGCTGTGCCCCCTGTGGGCCTCAGTTTCCCCAGTGAGGCCTGGGGGTCTGAACTAGCCATAAAGACCCTGGGGGGGGCGGGCCCGGGGATGGCTTGGATAAGCTGTCCATCCACCCAAGTGGGGGAATCAGGGAGGAGCCTAAGCTGACAGAGGGGCCCCTCCACCCACAGGGCTCAGGCTGTGGACCCCAAGAGAAAGCTGGCTGCCCCTGGGGCTCTCCAGGCCCCTGCCCTGACCCCAACAAGTTGGGTGCACAGGAGGGGGCAGCAGGTCGGGGAGCTGGGGTGTGGTGCCCCCAGGCCTAGAATGAGCAACCCAAGACCAGGCTCACTCTAGGGACACCCCATCCCCGCAGACCAGTGTGGGCCCCCAGCGCAGCCCGGAGGCTGGGGCTCTGCAAAGACCAGAAACCGAAGGCCCCGCCCTCGAGCCACCGTGGGAACCAGAGCGTTGGAGGTGGAGGTGAGGGCTGGGGGCCCAGGCAGCCTCCAGTCACAGCAGCCACTGTCCAGGCCTCAGGGTGGCCCGGCACGGGGTCAGAGGAGACTATCAGGGCTCCCTGCCCATCCCTCCAGGCCACACTCCGCTCTAGACAGCTGCCGGCCGCTCGGGCACAGAGACACCACGAGAGGGACACACGGGGGCGGATCTCCCCGAGCTGTGGCCAAGTGGCTGCCAAGGAGCTCAAGTCGAGGCTGGTGCCATCCAGGTCCGCAGCCAGGGCACAAGCAGCCCCTGCTGAGGCCCCCACCAGGCGGCCTTCCCCGTGGAGACGGGGTCTCCAGGGCCAGGACCAAAAGAACAAAACAAGGATGAGGGAGGCCCGTGGAGGGTTTGTCCGTGCACATGGACTCCACGCCAGATGCAGGCATCCTGGACACGCCAGGTTCGAGGAAGCATCTCACTAAGACGGACCACTTGCTTCCCTTCATTCCGATTCTTAAACAGGTGCGAGGAAAACCAGACTGGCCTGGCCTGCAAGGCTTGTGCAGCCTCCGCCCAAGGCCACGGCCAGAGGCAGCAGCTGAGAGGGTGACGGACAACGCGGACCCCCAGTGCCCACCGCTGGGGGAGGGGCAGTGTCTCACCTTAATCTGGGGGGCCAGGGAGTAGCAAGTGAGCTCGAACCGGACCTGGTCATTTCCCTGAAACAAAGGACACGGGACCGTCAGGAGCCACGGGGTCACAGGAGGGCGCGGGCACAGGCAGTGCAGGGGGTGGTGGGTGGCAGCGAGGGCGGACTCTTGCGCACGCGCCGTCTCTGGCCTCGCCCTCTCCTGACTTGCGGCTCATCCTAAAGACAGAGGCCGAGGAACCAGCAACTCCTGCAGGTGGGGACTCGAACCCAGGGCCTCCTAGTCTGTGCGGCACAGCGAATGGGGGAGGGAGCACACACTTGTCACAGTGCAGGAGTGCATGCAGCAGGGTACCCAGCGGGGTGAGGGGTGCGCATACACAGGAACACGGCAGTCCTGTGTCGCGCACACACACCTCCACATGTATGTGCACAGCTCTGGATCGTGTGCGGGTCCCTGCAGGGTCATCCGACCCTGGGGCTGGGGCCTCCCAGGCAGCTCCCCAAGCAGCCCACCGCACCCCAAACTGGAGGCCAAGGTCATTCAGCGCCTGGGAACCTGGCACCCGTGGGCCTCAGTTTTCCTGGCTTGGGCTGGTGGTGAACGCAGGTGACCGGAGGGCCTTTTGCTTCTCAGCTTCTCTCTGCAGAGGGGAAACTGAGGCACCAGGGCCTGCTCCTCCTGCCATTGCAGTCACCGACCCCCGCGGACCTCACAGAGCACAGGGAGGATGGGAGCCCACTTGGCCGTGGGGGGAGGTGGCCGGGCCGCCCTGGAGCTGGAAAATAACAGAGAACTTGGCCTACTGTGAAAACCGCAGGCACCATGGAAACCCTCCTCCGGCCCTGTCACCCTCCACTCAGGCCCAGTGCATATTATGCATTGTCACCTAGATGGGCACCAGGGCCAGCGGGACTTCGAACTCTGCTTCAGATGAGGACAGCAAAGCTCAGAGAGGGGAAGCCAGTGGCCCAGGGTCACACAGCACACGCGCCCGTACCAAGAGCTCACTCCCAGGCCCTGGACTCCCTGCAGGGTGAGCCCCTCCTCTGGCCAGCTGCCCGCTAGCCGGAGAGCCTCTGCCAGCCCTGCTCTGGGGCCATGGTGGTTGTCGTGCAAAGTGGACTCGTTTCTGATCAGGACGGTCAGGGTCCGGGATTGCACAGCCCAGCGACTCCCCCCAGCCTCCTGCCTCCCTGGTACAAAGGTGGCCGGCTGGGCCGGTGTCTGGGACTCAGATGCCGCCAGGGGGACGCACATCTGCTCCAGGGACCCTTGCAGGAGCCGACCAGGGGCCTCTTTGGTTGCGAGTCTATCCCAGGTGGGAGCAGAGCGCCCCAGCCCCTCCCTAACCCAGGTGCCCAGTTCCAGGGGCCCCATAGCTTCCCGGGAGCAGGAGAAGGCGGCTCGCACACGTGTGTCCACATGTGACAGACCGGCGCCCACGGGGTCGGCGGGCCGGGGTCTCCCATCTGCCCGGATAGCCCCACAGATGGTGCCGTTTCCAAACCACCCCCGCGCGCCAGCTCATGTTTCCAGGCAGCAGGGGTGAGGTCCCCGCTTCAGTGAGGCTCAGGGTGGGCTGGGAGCAGGGCTATTTCTTACCAAGCTGCTCCCTCCTGGACGCCCTTCCGGCTAAGTCCACCCAGGCCGGTGGCAGGGACACCGGTGCCCGCCACCACCCCTGCAGTGGGGAGGAAGTGCCTTTGGAGGACCTCTTCAAGGCTGGAGCGAGGACCCGGGGTGGTGCAGCCCCAGCCTGGTCACCCAGCCGCTGCCCACTGCCAGGGCCCTGCGGGGATCTGCAACTCCTTCAGGGCCACGGCCTCTACCCTGCCCTCTGCTCATCTCCTGCTCATACCTGGGGTCATGGGTGGCCGGGCCTAAGCCTCCCCTCTCACACCCAGTCTCAAAACTCATCTCCCAGTGCCGTCAGGCCCTTCCCTGGTATTGCACATGCGGGGAGACTGAGGCACAGGAGCCAGCTTTGCCCGAGGACCCCCGGGCGGCGCGGGCCACCGTGGCCTCCTCAAACCCAAGCCTCTGGTGCCCTCTGGTGGTCACACGGAGGCCGCGCGTGCGCACCGCG